CCAACAAATCAATTTTTATTTTTCATCAACAAAACCCAATGAGTTTTTATTTTTCATCAATAGAGCAATTTTTCATCTTCATACTTTACATTATAATTCATCCATTAAGTTGTTATTTAATTGATGTTGCAAATATTTTAAAGGTTGCATTAATATATTAATGAGAACATTTGATGAATAAAAAAGAAATTACACACGAAAATTCAATGATTAACATTCAATTGATTTTTTTCTTTTACAATTTCTAATTTTCATCAACAAAGCCCTTATTACCAATTTAATTAATATTTATCATTTGACTTAGAATTAATATAAGTGATGAAATATTTAATCGACATTTATCATTTGAGTTGGTATTAATATAAGGAGTGAAAGTGACATTCAATTATTAAAAATAAATAAAAATAAATCAACAGAAATTTAGCCTCCGTTTGACTCCCGTTTTCTAGAAATGAAAATGTGTGGAATAGTATTTTTTTGAAAAATGAGTAGTTAAAAAGATGAAAATATTTTCGATTTACATATAATATTATTTTAGGGAAGATTGTGTTATTGAAAATAGAAGAGAGAAAAATGAAATGTAATTTAATGAAATTTAATAGGGGCCAAGTAAGGACTTAGTAACTTATCATTCAATTGAGTATTTTGTTCTTACAATTTTTATTTTTCATCAATAAAGAAATTTTTATTTTTTTATTTTTATGGCAAAACCTTTATTAATCTTCATGATTTACATTATAATTCATCCATTGAGTTTTTATTTTTCATTAACAAAGCAATTTTTTATTTTTCATCAACAAAGCCCTTATTATAATAGTCATGATTCATCCATTAGGTTATTATTTAATTGAGCTAAAGGTTGCATTAATATATTAATTGGGACGTTCGATCGCTCAAAAATATTGTGTGCAAAGAAGTATTATTGTAATCATATTATTACATTTTAGTTAATATATTATATGATCAATTACCTCTATTATTTTAAAAAATATTTTCCCTTCATAAAAGAAAAGTAATCAATTATGTAGTTTTATTAATTCCTAGATCTTTTCTCTAAGCAAAGAGAAGCATTTGTAAAGCACCATTATAGATCAAATGGACACGATTTTATCAACTTCACAATACATTCCTTGATAAAACAAATTTATTGTGATTCTCTTCTTTATAGTTGAGATAATTAAGTAGATATTGAGATTAACATGAAAGCATTGTTCCTCAATTTTTTTTTCTCAATTTAAATACTCGGCCAACCTCCATCTTTTATGACATAAATGATGATTCAACTTATAAATTTCGTTAATACATTAGTTTTGTCATCTAGATTAGCAAAATATACTCATATTTTTTATTTTTTTTATGACGGGGGAACCCACAACCATTACCATTCGAGTGCGTATTGGGTAAACCATCGAACTGACATAATAGACCGCAAACCACGTCAGCCAGGTAAACCGCACTAAGCAAGTCCTGTGCAACACACTTGACCAAGAAAGTGTTGAAAGAAGGAATCAAACTCGTGACCAAAGGTCTCCGTGTTCACCTACTCCATCAACTCGATCACCCCATCTGGGGCAATATACTCATATTTTTAAAAGATCAATACATTGACAAAGCTATTTTTGTCAATTTGTACGACAAAACTAATGCATTAATGTACTATTAAGCTACCTAATAATTTATATCGCATGAGTAAGAAATTTTATTACTTTTGAAAACAGAAGTTGAGGCACATCTGGCTAAGGTTATACGAACCTTGCTGTATTTTTTCTAAGAATAGTTGATCTAAAACATCCTTGGCGTCAAAGAGTGAATAAACTGAATTGAACAATCCCAACATATAGATATGAAGACAACGGCAAATCAATGATAGAAAAAGAATCGATAAAGACTAGTATTGGTGGATGAGTAGCACAAAATTGATCGCCTCTGATACTATATTAGAAACTATAAATGGAACAAAAGAAATTTGTATAGCTTTTCAGTGAAAGGATTATAGAGAGAAGGATCATATTTATAGTGTTACAATTAACTAGAATAGGAATTAGGAAATACTAGACACTATTACACCCTTAATTATTAAATAAATAATCTTGGAGTACTGAGGGAAAATATCATGGAGAATATTATGGAGTAATTTTATAATATATTAGTGGATTTTAATTAATTATAGGGGAAACTACGTTGAATATGTAACTTTTAGAGAGAGAAAGTGTGTCAATCACTTCAAATTATGTGTAATTTTTCCAAAATTTATGTCAACTCTTCTAACGATGCTCAACTTTTAAATGTGTTTCCAATTCTCTTGCTCGCTTTTGCATAAATTTTGAATCATATAGTTATTGTTCACTAATTATATAAAGTTGACGAGAGTTTCTAATCCATTTAGACGCCATAATCTTGTCAATTTAGATAATAAATTCTATATTGTCGAGAATTTTAAATAGTATTTTAATATTAGAGGACTACCATATTTCATATCTAAAGAAAGCATTGACAATAGACGAAATTTATTTTGACAAATATCAAAAAAATAGACAAGTCCGAAAGATTTCCCTTAATTGCACAACGGACTCTTGTTTAATTTCATTAAAGATTTTCAATAAAAGTACTTTTAATGAAAAAAATATACTTTAGCTAGAGGTCAGATGCAATATTATATCTTCCTTAATAATATTAAAAAAGCTATTAGAAAATAGAAAAAGTACTTTTAACGAATGGCTTTGTTTTTCATTTATTCACCATAATTTCAATTTATAAAACCAATTTTTTCTTGCTGTCGTAGGTTTAGGAATATGATAATTCATATCGTTCTGTTAATTGTTTTTAATGAACATTGAAATGAAAATGGTTAATTGAAATATTTGTAGAGAGTCCTCATAGGGCAAATGCAGTTAACAATGATGAGTTGTAAAAGGATTTCATAGTTCTCAACCGAGCAGTGTTAAGCCATGTTATGCATTAAGGATTTGTAATTGTGTGATGTTGTGACATCCATAATGAATGATACCACGAGACGCTCTTTTAAAATGTAATTGTTTAGAATCCGAAATCTATTATACTAGTAGTTTGTATAGCAATGATGTTTGATGATTGACTCATAGTGATATTCCATATGGTGGTGACATGCAACGAATGGTTCATGGTAGGCAAGTGGAAACCACCTTGGTCTTGAGAACAAGAGTTACAAGATTATGGAAGGCCAGTGTGACCTTGCCCGATGTACACAGCTGCTTCCCAAAAAGGGATTATGGAAGGCCAATGTGACCTTGACCAAGGTAGATAGTCGCGACCCAAAAAGGGCCTTTTGACCAAAGTCAAACCGAAAAGGGGCCTTTGGTTGACCTTGAGCAATAACAACCAACCCGGCTCTATCAACCGAGGTTGACCTATATCATCCGAAAGGTCTAGGCAAACCTAGATCAAGGTCTATCTTCAAAAAATGACTTGTATATACTCTACTTGCCTACATGTTATAATAATTAAGATATCAGGACAATAACATTTCTTATGTTCTCTTCGCTCTTGCTCATGGTCCATCGTCCAAAGAAGTACACAAAGCTATGATGTCATTCTCTTCACATTATTTGAAAACGAACAATCGTGGTTGTGGCTTGGCCTCCTTCCTAGATAAATTGTTAGGTTTTATATAGTAATTGACATGTCTGTGAACAAAAAGGACTAAATTGAACATTTGTAAAAGTTAAGAACTTGAGTTGCAATTATGTATAGTTTGCTAGGGTTGACTAAGGTTCGAGTTCAAGTTTGGAAAAAGGAAAAATGGAACGCCAGAATTTCGTTAGCTACTCGCCAAGTTGTTGCTCGAGGGTTAAAAACAGTAAGCTCGTCGCTCGCTTTTCGTCGAGTTGTCGCTCGAGTGACAGTATCATCCGGCCGAACCTTAGATCACAATTTTGGAGAATTTTACCTAGCCCATGACACCATTCGCCCCAACTATAAATATAGAAGTCATGGATGAAAATGAATAGGTTGCTAGATTGTGCTTTCAGTTCAACACAAATTCATAACATCTTTGAGAGATCCAAGGAGTGCTTCATTCATTGATTCATCCATATTGATCTTATGATTCGACAACCTAGTATTGGGAAAATATCAAATGTTCGAGAATCCAAAACACCTGTCTTCCTTAATTCTTTGAGGAATTGACTTTCTCATTAGGCATTGAGAGAGGTGGTCTTCAAGCGGAGGAAAAACACAAGAACAAGATATTCTTGAAATTCCACTTGGAAAAGACAATTGGTGAAAGATCAGGAAGCTGGAAGGAGACAATACATCTTGGAGATTGCAGGAGGTAGATCGAGAAGTTTAGTGGAGTAGCTAAACAACATCTACAAGCAGTAGATCGTGAGACTGGAAGTTGACAACAGATCTTAGAGATTACAAGAATTACAACAGCTATAACTAGTGGAAGTTGCTAAGCTAGAATCGTACTGTAACCCGAATTGTCTATAGTGGAGGTAACTGGCTTGATCCTATAATTTTTTCCATGTTGGGTTTCTTCATCAACAAATTTGGTGTTTTTACTGTTTTCCGTATTATAATTGTGTCATTCAAACATGGGGTAATTGGATTGTATGTTTAATTATTTAGAAACTAATTAAAAGGAACTTATTACTTTAATTAGACAATTCTCCTCATAAGGTCGAACTAATAAATTGTCTAAAACGTAAACTTGGTAATATTGAAAGTTAAAGTAGTACCCATAGTGTTCTAGGTCGGTTTTATATAAATTAATCAGCAAAAAGAGAGAGAGATGGAAGATGAAAAATTGTTTCATAAAAATTCAATCCCTATTGCCATGTCAGCAAAACCTACAAAATCCAGGTGTCACCACAAGATTGGCTTGTTAAAAATTCCAGCCAGGCAGACATAGGGGTGTCAAATGTGTGGCCCACCGACAACCTAGGATTGACTCCAATGTACGGACATCCCTCAATGCTATATAACAAACATTAGTTTCCCGTAAAAAAAAACCATAATTTAATGTCTATTCCACGCTATATGCACTGACTTTTCTCCTCTCTTAATTTCTCTCTCTTCCTCTCTAACCATGCTTGAAGTAGTGAGTCTTTCTCTCTCTAGTTTTCCTTTATTTTATTATTATTATTATTATTATTATTATTATTATTATTATTATTATTATTATTATTATTATTGGTTCAATCATTCATTCCAATTCCATGCTTAGAAAACAAAGTTTTCAGAGAATTAATGTTGTCTTTTTTCCTAACTTTTTAAGGAAGCAGATCTTCAAGGTTTATAAAGAAAACAATGTTGCAGAACTTGGTTCATCCACAAGAACATCTTCCCGTTGTAATTGTTTTCAATTTTCTTGAATGTGCATGATGTTGCTCTTTCTTCTATTTTCTATCTGTCCTATGCATGTTGGCATAAATACATATGATTATGCTACTTGTCCAAAAAAGGTACATAAGGGATTACATAAAATGATGTGGAGGGACAAAATTGAATAAAAAAGTTAATTGTGTTTTAAACTGACAAATGATATACTGATATGTGACATTATGTAACTCATTATGTAAAATTTGATATACATATAGCAAAGTCCAAATATATATATACATACATAAATACATATGTATGCAGATACATACATACATACATTAATATATTTTTTCCCTGAAACCCTTCTTGTTCTAAATGGTTTTAAACCACTTTTAACATTTCTAACTCATATTTTGTTTATGCAAATTATAAATTTGCATATTTATGTTTTTCCCAGAAATCCTTTATGTTCAAAATGGTTTTGAAGCCTTTCATCTATTTCTAGCTTGTATTTTGTTTTTGCAATTATTAATTAGTAAATGGATTATGCCAATCAAATAAAAATTAATTATCACTTAGAAAATATTTTTCTACGAACTCCTCCATTTCTTTTCAAAGCCTAATGGAATATTTAGCTTTTCGAGCTTATTGTATAATTTATTTATTTATATTTTTCTAAATCTTGATTCCTTTATTGACAAAGGAACTTAAATTAAGGGAAAACACTACACAAGTATGATATATAATATGTTATAATAGTTCTTTAAAAGTTCCCATTGTTTGTCCAAAAATGGAGTTTAAGTTTAAATACTACGAATTTCTCTTTTTGTTTAATGTGACTTTCATATTTTGGTTCTATTTGGAACCTCGTCACTTGGTGCATGTCACATGGAGCACAAATGCACTTACCTTTTTTGTGATTTAAAGGATATCTATCATCAACAAGATCCCTTTCATGAAAATTATGTTGTTTTGATCAAATTGAGATACAAAGTGTTTAGTGCGTGGAAAGCAAAATCATCTGAGTAGATAGAACGTTTGAATTTTTTCGTGCACGCGCAAGCATTTGCATTGAAAATATTCGATGGGTAAACGTGTGTGTATATATGCATATATTATGAATTGCCTTGGTACATTTTATTTCATATGGTCTAATCACTATTTTTTGTAATAAAAAATTTATTTATTTTTTTTCATTTTTTTCTCAGGAAGAAATTGGGAGCCCACTTGGTGCTCAAATTTTGGAATTTCGTGAGTCTGAATTATTTCCAGAAACTTTACAAAATTCTGAAGTTGCTTCAAGCTCAAATTGCTGCTATGAAGAACACACTTCATATCCAGCAAATCTTTCCATTACTACAGATATGAGTAATTTCACCAGTGCCATGGATCTTACTCTACAGAATGAAATGAAGCTGCCGCCGGCCGTCATGACGGCCACTCCCTCTGCCCCTTCCACCACCAGCCCATCCGAGCCCACTGTCACCTCCACCATCTCCCCCACCAACACTAAAAACAACGGCAACTTCTCCATAATATTCGACTCTGCTGAAGATATTGATAACGATATTTCTGCATCCATAGACTTCACCCCGTCTCCAAACTTTTCAGTTCCTCAGTACTTCAACAACAATAACAATAATCAAGACCAATTTGACTTTTTTTCACTGAATAACCAGATTTCAGCTGGAGATGTTGTCAATGGATTAATCTCTCAGTACCCTCCTGAGCCACCACATCCGGTGCCACTCTTGGGGCCTCCGCCACTGCCGCCGGCTTACGATGAAGAATGCTTATCTTCTATTCCATCTTACGTGCGGCTGAGTTCTTCTTCGCCTTCCTGCGGAATTTTGGATCCGATTATGGGACAGTACCTTCCTGCAGCCAACATGAATCCGCCATTTTCTACTGAGAATTCCGGAATTCTCACTGGGGGTAGTTTGCTCATGGGAACTGAACTTCAATCTCAAGAACTAGATTTCCAGGGTGATAATGGTGGACTCTTCCTCCCTGACACCATATCAAGTCTCTTTAACTGCTCTAGTGATCTTCAGGTACTATATACCTGTACTCAATACTCGACAACTAGACCATACTAGTTGACATAATCCATATTAAAATTCTTATCGTATTTATGTTCTCATTTTTGTTTTGAAAATTAAGGCACTTAATAACGAGAACCCGCATATGGCCCATGGAGGTCCAAATTCTAATCCTTTGGCATCAGAGATTTCGAGCTTGGAAGATTCTACTTTCAAGGTGGGCAAACTCTCCGTTGAAGAAAGGAAAAAGAAAATCCATAAATACATGAAGAAAAGAAATGAAAGGAATTTCAGTAAGAAAATTAAGGTCTTTCTCTCAATCTCTCTACTTTAGTTTTCGTTTGACAAATAAATTATAAATTGTTAAAAATTTCATTTTTAAACAAGAATGGACCCGGGCTCAGTGGACCCTTAATTTTTGACATTTACAAAGTAGCTCACATAATCTTTTAGTCCATAATATTAAGTTTTTAACCCATAATTTTTACATAATTCTGCCTCACCCCATAATGTTCGAGTCCACCTTTGTTTTTAACCACTCTCAACTGTGTACTTATTCGTCACTCTTTTCGATATATTCTTCTCATTTCAAACGGAGGCTTAAATCAAGTAATTGCATGTATATGTTCATGTGACATTTTTACATGCGTATGATATATCATCATGTATACATGACATATTCTATTTTTATCACCTAGTATATGTGTCCTGTGTGACAAGTATTAATGTTCCACAATAAAAAGCGCAGGAAAGTCGTGAAACCGATGAACTAGAACTGCATTTAAGGTATCTATAGTAAATTACCTTGGCAAAACATAAGTCTATCCATTCGGTTAGTTTAAGGTTTTACTTGTTTTCATCTCAAATGAAAAGCTTACCTGATTAATAGGAAGCCCTTTCTTTTCTCAAATTTACTTTTGTTTCAATCCAGAACCATCAAGTGGGACTGAGACCACAAGAATCTTATTTAGAATTAAATTCCACAACATGTATTGAAGTTGAAAGGACAAGACTAGGCACGATTAAGAAAAATATTCAAATGGTAAGTTGGGTTAATTGTCTTGTAATAAGACTAAAGAAATTGTTTTAGAAGGAAAAAATGTTACTAAATTAAAAAAAATAATAATAAAAAATAATAAAAATGTAACACAATTAAAAATGTTTGCAGAGAAAATATGTATACAATATAATTTATACGAATTGACAAATATAGTTTGGTCAAATATATATGCAGTATGCGTGTCGCAAAACACTTGCAGATAGCAGGCCTCGTGTTAGAGGAAGGTTTGCAAAGAATGATGAACTTGGAGAGGTTGCAAGAACTGCTAGCAGCAACCATGAAGAAGACACAGATGAAGATGTAAGTCTGTTTGCAAATCAGATCTCTCGCTACCAAGACAAGGTACAATTGCAACATAACCTTCTTCCCATCTTTCTTCTCCTGCGCCTCGGCCCCCACCCCCCGCCTCCTGTCTCCCACAACAACAACATTGACAGAATGTTTGATCTGTACTCGACATGACATGCATCATCAACATTACAAATAGGCATTAACTTATGTTTCGTTCTTACATTATCTAGTGTTATATAATGTCTTGTCATATGAACCTAATAACTCGAGGGAAAAGCTTTTTGTATAGAAAAGCTGTACACCATCGTGTACAGATGAATATGTGGCAGAAAACTAGCGGGATTAATTGTGTTTGTTGTGAAAAATTGTGTGAGATCTTGCTAAGTGTAAAAATTCATTCATCTATCAGAAAACTAGCGGGATTAATTGTGTTTGTTGTGGAAAATTGTGTGAGATCTTGCTAAGTGTAAATTCTATAAATGAGGGTGTAAACGAGGATCTATATGTAGTGAGGTTCTTAACTTGATGTCATGTTCACACAGTCAATGCGGGAGATTTTTTTAAAGTTTTTAATTGTTTTTTTTTTTTGGCATGTAGGTGATGGTGAAAGAAGAGGATATGGTAGACTCTTCAGACATATTTGCACACATAAGTGGTGTAAATTCCTTCAAATGCAACTATCCCATTCAATCTTGGATTTGATTAGAGTTTCTGAGAATTGAAGCCTTTTCAGCAATTTTGCAGGACCCACCATCAACTAGCTGCCTCACTCAGCAGGATTATTTCAAAATCTTAAAATAGTGGAGAAATGAATAATTGGGTCATTTCTATATTTACTCAGTAATGGTTAATTTATAGTTATTATTCGAAAGTTAAATAATAGTGTATAATTTTTGTATATACTACTTTATGTCTGACATTATACAAAATTTCCAACATTGAAATCTGCTAAAGCACAAATGGAACAGAGTTCAAGTTGTGATTGTATAACTAAGTTGTATTTGGTAGTTTATTTCTTTTTTAATGATCTTATTTAGGTTTTTAATAGATAAATTGATTTTGTTGGTTATTTGAGGATGTGACTTTAAGGAGTTTATAGACAATATGCAGTTCTTTTAAATTGGCAGGACACATTTATTATATGTGTGTGATATATATACTTGGAAGAATGGGAGTTTGTCTTTTTCTTTTGATGTGGAAGAAGGGCATTGTCTTTGCTTCAAAAAGTTTGTTTTGAAATAATCATTTGCTTTAGTTTTACTTTGATTGCTCTATCATAAAGATAGAGATAATTTCTAGCTATGATGTAGTGATTGCTGAAATTCAAACATGAGAAATGGACGTCGCCTAAATTCGACTCTATCTAAAAATTGACGAAAACTATAACACCTTGGTACCTAATTTTATGGGAGTGAAATAAGCTTAACGTGAAGAAGAAAGTGGTGAACAAAAAACAAGAACATTCTTGAAAGGCCATTTTTCAGAGATATGAAATGAAAAGGAAATTTTGGTTTTAAATGTCTCCTTATTAATTGATAAAGGGCAAATTGTCAAGCATTTGTTTATTACAAAGGTCAATTCAACCTTCCTACTTAGGTTCACACAGCAATATAAAGTACAATTTTTAGTATTATTTTTTTATTTTCTAATATCCTTTTTGTTCCACTAGTCAAAAAGACAAATTCCGCCCTTTAAAGTCATTGATATACTTTGTAAACTCATCTATGTAAATTCAAATAATTTAATCCAAGAAGTTAGTTGACCCAACTGATTAGGGTTATACCTGGTGTCAGGTTACTAGTGGCTGCTTAGCAAAGCTTAAAAAGTATGCTTAAAGGTAAGTTATTGTATTGCAAAAGTAATGTTGAAGTTTAAAATGGATATTTAACGTGAATAGGACAATCGATTTTTATTTGTTCTTAGTGGTTATTAAGAAGGCGCTCGATGTTCAAATCTACATGAGGCTTAGGGCGAGGATCTCTTGCCTTATTTTCCACTACAGTTATGATGCCAGACAAGACATCGATTATCCTGCAGGTTAGCAGCAATAGATATTTCACAGAAAGAAATACGAAGAAAAAAGCTCAAAGACAGAGAATTCTCTAAAATTCAATTCAACTTTAATAAACTGTAGAATGACGAAAAAACCCACAGGCCAAGTTATTGAAATTATTGAAATTTTACCAAAAATAACAAAATCTCTATAATCATATCAAAATAAAATACGTAATAAAAGAAGTATCTTGCCAAAAATTTGGCTCAAATCGCATCCAAAATCACCTCGAAATGGCAACCGAAATATTACCATAAATGGAAAAAATAACTAAAAATGGAAATTCAAGAGGAAAAATAACGGATTTTGGCCAAATTACTATAATATGTTCAAAACTGCCCCAATTAAGAAAAGATCACAATCACTTGTCATCTCTGTGTTGATCTACCAACTCATGATATCTTAGTGCCATCGACGTATTATCTGACAACTCAGCATCACTTGACTCGGAACCTCCTGTATCAGTCCTCCCGGGTTGGAAAGAATTCGTCATCGAGTTCACAATAGCTTAATCTGAATCCACAGGGTTTAGGTGCTTCACATTGAAGACATCAAAAGTCTTCAAATGGTTGGGGAGGAACAACCTATAGGCATTATCATTAATCTTCTGCAGTATCTCACGGGGTCTAATCTTCCGATCCTTAAACTTATTATTCTCCCCAACACCAAAGTGATCATGGGTTAATACCACCCAAACAAAATCATCAACAACAAAAAGCACCCTTAAGTTTCAAATCATCCTTAGCCACCACTCCAAGCAAAGCTTGAATTAAGCTATACTTTACAACTGGTGAGAACACTTCTGTAAAGTTCACACTTGGAATCTAACTATAACCCTTAGCTACCAATTTGGTCTCTTCAATTCATGATGTACTTTCCTTTCTTTTGAAAACCTACCTGTAGCAAACAACCTTCTTCTCCTTGGATAATTTCACTAAGTCTTATGCTATTTTTATTAAGTGAATCCATCTCTGTCTACATAGCAATCAACTATCTATTCAAAGCACTACAACTGACTACTTTTATATATGTAGCAGGCTCTTCAGTGGAATCAATACTGTTAGCCACAACCAATGCATAAGCTACCAAGTCTACATCTCCATACTTTTGTGGAGGTCTAATCTCTCTACAAGATCTATCATTTGCAATCGAATACTGCTGTGCTAGTGGCGGCGGAGGTAAAGTAGGCAAAGTGTTATTCTCCTCCACTTTAAACTAAACTGATTTGAGTCCTCTGATTTTCCTTCTGAACTAACTTCCAACTCCACTGAATATTTTGATTTTGTTGTTATATTTTACCAGGATCTCCACGAGGCAAATTTTGAACAATTGCAAATTCATCAAATACTACTTCTCTACTAATCATCACCTTTCCTTTTTTGGATAACCCAATCTATATTCTTTTACATCTAATTTATACATAAGAAATGTGTTCTTTCTAGACCTTGAATTCATCTTTACATTTTTCACATAAGCATTAGTGGGGCAGGCAAATAGTTTTAAATCAAAATAACTAGAAAGATTACCAAACTGTACCTCTTCTACCGTGCTTTTAATGGCAAGTAAGGGTGAGCGATAATGAGAAAACAAGTTGTAGTAGCAACTTTAGTCCAAAAAATTCTTAGGCAACCCAACAATTGAAAACATACAACAAACATTTTACATCAATGCTCTATTCATCTATTTTACCATATCTTTCTATTTTGGAGTCCTAGACACTGTCAAGTGTCTTAAGATATCTTCTGACTTGCTAGAGCTATTGAATTCATCCGAATAAAACTCCAACCTATCATTTGTACATAGTCGTTTTACCTACTTCACAATCTGTTTCTCAACCATTGATTTCCATTCTTTAAAGGTTACAAACACATTACTCTTATATTTCAAGAAGAATGCCCAAGTCTTTATGGAAAAATCATCAATCATTGTTAACAAATAATAAGCATCAACTTTAAAAGCCACTATCGTCCGTCTCCAAATATCCAAATGGATATATTCAAGTGTTCCCTTGGTGTTGTATCTTCCTTTGGTGATTATTTTTCAAGGACACAATTCTCTTAGAGATTTAATGTATTGGTCATTTGCCCATCAAGAAGTCCTCATCTATAGTAAGAGTATCACGTAAGGATACAAACACTGCATTTAGTGTAACTTATTGGTCAGACTCTTTATCATACAATGCTACTCCAATCTTAACCATAACTCAGTATCACTCTTTTCTTTTAGAACATCCTGAAATATGTGATTTGATAGAAGGAGATAGATTTGTGATAGGGATTCTTGATCCATATGCTATTCTACATCCAGGTTAAAGGTATTTTTTTCAAAGCCTAACAAGGCATTATTCAAATCCATCTATGCAAGAATGGCGTGCATCTTCACCTGACATGGAGAAAATCTTGTGCTGCAATCCAATAATGGGATATTATGTCATTATTGCCATGCGAAATATCAATTTTGCTCTGATACCAACTTGTTATGAAATAATCATCAGATAATTGGCAAGATGAAATAAATCAAACAATATAAGAACAAAAATATTTTACGTGGAGAGTTAAGAAAGGAAAAAACTACTGATAAAGGTGGAGTATTTCATTGTAATAAAAAATGAACGTTCATTACACAACATCCCAATAATCTTACTCAAGATCTAAAGCTCTCTCAAGGCTCTATCAATGTTGTATTACATTTACAAATTATGGTTATTGTATATATACCCTAAACATAGAGTTATAAAAGGATTGAAATGTTGAAAATACGAAATGGGCCTTGGGCCGAAACGAACTGTCGCTCGAGTGCAAGTAGGCACCAAGCGAGGGCTGACTTTGTTGCTTAAGCGGCAAACTCATACCAAGCAAGCACCAGAACCCCTATTTTGAACTCTCAAGCTGGAGACAGTTGCCCAATAAGCGAAATGTGGAGATATTTTATCCTTAATCTATAATTTGACCTCTACGGGTCCTCTTCAATCTAAATACCAATACCTAATAGAATTTCGGTCATACTTCAATTAAAGTATGACCACTGAAACCTTTTTTAATCAATATCATTAAATTAAGTGGACAAGTAAAAGTATATATAATTACTTTACATAGTAAAGATCACAACTAATACTGTCTACATACAAACAACCTCAACACAATTTTAGATTGTAGAAAAAAAGGGGATGATTTTTGTGTAGATATATTATCAGTCACTATAAGTATAAATAACATAAACATGATTCACTAATATTGCCCTAAAGTCGTGTTCCTCCCCTTTGTGTAGGTACTTTCGACACTACCTACATTAAGATAAAACCCATATTTATAGCCGGTTCTCTTTATATGCGCACCGCTACATAGCGATAAAGAACAAGACTTTCACCAAATTGTAAAAATATATAAAAATAGTATAAAATGTAGATCTAGTATATTTTCAAGTCGTGTTTTCTAGTTTCGCAAGTTATGAAAATTCACTTCCTTTTTTATAAGGGCATATTCAACCCCACAATTATGAGAATTGTATCAATCAAAATGTATGTTACACTCTAAAATTATTACTAAAATTGAAATTTAAACAAAAAATAGAAAATTAAAAGGAATTAATTTGAAAATTTAAAACCGTTCATTATTTACGTTACAACATTTGTAGCTGCATCAAGAATTATCAAACTTGCTGGAGTCAATTTGCCATAAATGTGCTTCACCTAAGCCCTCATCTTTAATTCATAAATTGAAAACACTTCAGAAGTATTGGAATATAGTGGTGTTAATGAAACCGGATTATCACATACCATATATATAGTTTAGATACCAGCTTTGAGCATACCGTAAATTCAATATGCCGTATATGCAACTTACCGTATTTGCAGGTAGCTTATCGTATATACTGCCTACTGAATTTGCAGTTTAC